GATTTAAAAGGACAAAATGGAACTGCTAGAGATGAAAAACATATCTGAAATGAATTTTTTCCTGAGAAACATTTAACAGAAGACTAGACAATGTAGAAGAAATGGGATGGGATTTAAAGGACAAAATGGAACTACTAGAGGTGAAAAACATATCTGAAGAGAATTTTTTCCTGTGAAACTTTTAACAGGAGACTAGACAATGTAGAAGAAAAGATCCTTGCACTTGAAAATGTGACAATAGAAATATGCAAAATGGAGCGGAAAGAGCAAAAAGACTGCAAAACTTCAAAAAAACTCCAGCAACTTGGGATAATTTTTTTTTTTTTATTTTTGAGACAGGGTCTTACTCTGTCGCCAAGGCTGGAATGCAGTGGCACAGTGTCCACTGGCATAATCTCCACTCAGTGCAACCTCTGCCTCCTGAGTTCAAGGAATTCTCCCACCTCAGCCTCCCAAGTAGCTGAGACTACAGGTGTGTGCTACCACACCTGACTAATTTTTGTATTTTTTGGTATAGAAGGGGTTTCACCATGTTGGCCAAGCTTGTGTCAAACTTTTGACTTTAAGTGATCCACCTGTTTTGGCCTCCCAAAGTGCTGGGGTTACAGGTGTGAGCCACTGCACCTGGCTGGGTTAATTTTTAAATGGTCTAACATATGTAGCTGGAGTGTCAGAAGGAGAGAAGAGAGGGTGGACAGAAAAAATATTTGAAGGAATAATGCAAAAAATTTTCTGAATTTGATACAAGCTGTAAATCCACAAATGCACGACGTGTAAACAAAGCTTAGCACGTTATAATCATGTGCTAAATACAAGCAACAAAGCGAAAACCTTAGAAGGTACTACAAGAGAAAAGGCACATCAAATAAATGACGTAAGAATTCTGCAGATTATCTTCAGAAACTATATAAATCACAAGAGAATCCCTCATGGGTACTGAGGGGCAATTATGTTTTAAAGCCAGAAACAAACATTGAAGAAAACAAACACTGAAGTTGCCTTAATCAGTTAATGCTGCTATAACAAAATGCCTGAGACTGGGTAATTTATATATAAAAAAAAAACAAAACTGATTTCTCACAGTTCTGGCATTTGAGAAGTCCTCTCATCTAGGTACTAGCGGGTTTAGTGTCTGTTGGGGCCTGCCTGGTTTCTGCTTTGAAGATGGTGCCTTGTTTCTGTATCCTCCAAAGGGGATGAATCTTGTGTCTTTCCCTAGAAGAAGGGGGACAGGGGTGATCTAACTCACTCAAGCCCTCATGGTCTAATCACCTCCTAAAGGCCTCAGCTCCTGATACTATCATATTGGGTCTTAGGTTCTAACTTAATGAATTTTAGAGGGACACATGCATTCAGATTGTAGCAGAGGTATAGCTAATAACGTTAATAATAAAATGGAATACTAAGAAAAAAAATTTTTTTTAAAGACTTGAAATGAGAAAAAAGGAAGAAAGATCAAGTGGGTAAATAGAGAACAAATAGCAAGATAATGGATTCAGATATAATTGCGTCAGTGATTATGTTAAATGTGTGAATGGTCCAAAAACTTTTGAAAGACCAGGATGGTCAGCCTGGATAATACAAAAATTCACTGATATGTTAAAAGAAGGTTAGAAAAAGATGTTCTGTGCAAAGCACAATAAATAGGATAGAATGACTATATTAATATCAAAGTGTATTTCAGGAAAGAAAATATTACCAGGGAATTACAAAAGGGACATTTTATAGTGATGGAGCCAAATCATAAAAATTAATAGCAATTCTAAATATATAATTCAACAATAGAACTTCAAAGTAGATGAGATACAAACTTCCAGAACTGAAATAAATTGATAAATCCATGAAAAGTTTTAAACATGCATCTCTCAATAATTAATAGAAGTAATGAACAAAAAAATTTGTATTTAGAAGACTTGAATTGAATAACATTCTTAACTGAGTGGACCTAAATGATATTTACAGAATAGTCTAACAACAGAGGAATATACAGTCTTTTGAAGTATAATTAGAATATGCATCAAATCAACCCTGTGTTGGGGCATCAGACAAGTCTCATCAAATTTAAAAGGATTGGTATTGAACAGTACAGGTTTTGTGACCACATGGAATTTCTTGTGAAACACCAAGATATTTGGGAAATTCTCAGTTATTTGAACGACACTTCTAAATAACTGTACAGTTTAAAGAACTTTATAAGGGACATTAGAACAGTTTTTGATATAAAAATGAAAGTGAAACAACATATCAGAATTTGTGGAATGCAGGTAAAGCAACATCTGTAGGAGAATTTATAGTCTTAAATGCTTAAATATTAGAGAAGATGGTTTAATTTGCTCTTGTTTAAGAAAAAGAAGAGCAAGTTAAACCTGAAATAAGAAGAAGAAAGTAAATAAGAGCAGAAAACTATGAAGTAAAAAACAGACCAACAGATAAGAAAATCAAGCTCAAAATTGAGTGTATTGACATGATAAAAAAAATTGCTAATACCCTGACAATACTGATCAAAGTGAAAAGAGAAAAACAAAAATTACTATTTTCAAATGTGAAGGGATATCACAGACCTGACATTTAAAAGTATAATGAGGAAATATGCTCATAAATTTGACAACTTAGATGAGATGTACAAACCCTTGTAAAAGTATAATTTACCAAAACAGACATAGACAAAACAAATTCTAAATAATCTAGCCAAGGTGGTTTTCACTGGTAAATTCTATCAAGCATTTGATCTTACATAGATTCTTTCAAATTTCTTAGGTCTCTATGACCTTGATACCAAAACCTCATGAAGTAATTTGAAAAAGAGGATTTACATATTATTATCGCTCATGAACATAGACACAGAAATCCTTGAAATAGTCCATCAAATTCAGCAAAATATATAAAGGTTACATCAAACTCAGCAAAATATGTGAAGTTAGTACATCATGACAAATGGGGTCTATCCTATCCAGGCAAGGTTGATTTAAAAAATTTATATAATCCACAATAGTAATAGTTTATAGGGGAACAACCATGTGGTCATTTCACTAGATGCAGAAAGAATTTACACATTCAGTACTTAATGATAAAAGCTCTACATAGTAGCATAGAAGGGAGTTTTCTAAATTTTATAAAGTGCATCTGTGAAAAACCTGGAGCTACATTCTTAATGGTAGATACAGTAGTATAGCTGTACAATGATATACTAATCAGCAATAAGAAGGAATGAAGCATGGATACATGCAACAGCATGGACGAATCTCAAATATTCTGTGTAGCCAAAGAAGTTAAAAGTTTATATACTATATGATTATAATTTATTTGAAAAAGGGCTTGGTGACAGTGAAGTTCAGAGGTTTCTTGAGGTTTGGGGAAAGGATTGACTGTGATGGTGTACAAGTGTTGGGCGACGCATTGTTCTGTATCTTGTATTTTCATGGTGCAGCATGCCAAACATTACTGAAATGTGTATTTAAAATGGATTGTTTTATTGATTATAAACATTCCCTAAATGCAGTTGAATTTTAAAAATATATTACAAAACTGTCTTCTCCACTTCAGTCTTCTGTGTGACTTAGGATATCGAAAACGGTTAAGGTAGATTGTGATACTTGTTAGCATTATGTTTCTTGATAACTTCTTTTGGCAAACCATCTGTAAAATGGTCATTTCAATAGATGCGGAAAGATGTCTCACGTTTGATTGAAGACTTTTGTGGTTCGAGGCATTATATTGAAGTGTTTAAGACTGTGTGGTTTTGAGGTCATCTAGAGTTCACTTCAAAAATTGTCTTTTTTTTTTTTAACCTTTTTAAAAATATATATATATATTTTATTGCGTTTTAGGTTTTGGGGTACAAGTGAAGAACAGGCAAGAAAGATTGTTGCATAGGTACATACATGACAATCTGATTTGCTGCCTTTCTCCCTATCACCTGTATCTGGCATTTCTCCCCTTGTTACTTAACTACCTGTGGCTCCTTGGAGAAGTCATTAATGTCCCTTTGTTCAAGTTTATTTGTAAAATGAAGAGTAATAGTGCTTAATGTTAAGAAGCCCATGTAGGTTTATGAAAATGAGATAATTCATATGCAGTGCTTAGCCAAGTACCTGGTACAGAATTAGCTCTGAATGAATGGTAACTACTATTTTTTTAATCCCGTATTTTTACTGTTATACTTCAACAGACTACTTTAGTTCAGTGAACTGATATCACTTATTTTTCCTTACCTCGTACCCTCAATCTTAAATGTTTCTGGATTTTTACTGGATGATTTACTCTAGAACTTTGTTTCTTAGATTATAAGGCTCTTTGAGGATCTGATAAAACCTGTGCCTGTTTTACCCTGAAAAATGTACTGTAAAAATAACCACACAGTTTTCCATAGGGTTGTTTGTGGACTCATTGAACCTGAAAATAAGAACCCTTGTTACTGAGCAAGAATGTAAAAAGTTCTTACCCATATAATATTAAACTTAAAAATTTTTATTATGTAATAATTTGAGTTTCCACTGACTGCTTTAAAATTAGACTTATCTAATCTCTGAGCTAACATTACAGGTTATAAACTATTGACCTTTTTAAAATAAACATTTTTTAATGTTCCCAGTTTTTATATTCAGAAACTCATGTTAACTTTGATTGGGTTGAATCATATAACTTAAAAAAAATGGTCTTCTTTAATGTGTGTCTCAGGTTATATCATCTTTGGCCAAAAGCTGTAAATTGACATCCTGTTTTTAAGGACCTTGTATGACTGATTTCCTAATTAGGATTTCTTAATTTTACTAATTAAATTTACCTAAAATTGTAGTTGTTTTTCATCATAAAAAAGTCCATGTAAATTGCACAAATTGTATCTTGCTCTTCTGGATATTTCAGTACTGCATTATTTAATTTATTGTTTTTATTCTACTGTGCTTTATTAGAAGGTGTATATAATGTAGACATTATGGCAGGGGATGCCAAGAGTTTTGTGATTCTAAGTGTCATTCTTCAAAAACAAATTATTGTTTCAGAAACTGTTTTGGCTGGGCCTACTTCACCTTTACCTTCCCCGGGAAATGGTAGTGAAACTGCGCCTGGATCAGTTACACAGCCCAAGAAAATTAGAGGAATTGGATTTGGAGACATTTTTAAAGAAGGCTCTGTGAAACTTAGGACAAGAACATCGAGTAGTGAAACAGAAGAGAAAAAACCAGAAAAGGTGATAATGATGAATTTACATTAGATTGATTCCCTCATTCTCTCATTAAGCATTTTTTAAAATGTAAAAGTCGGTTTGTAATTGTTAGATTTTTTTTTTTCCAGATCACTAATAATTTGGTTATGAATGAGGAGGCTGTGAGAAATTTTGTCTCCAAATTTACAATGATATTCATGTGTGAATCTAATAAAATTAGAATGCTTATTTCTTGGTAAATTTAACACACTTAGTAGAAGCTTTAGGGTTTTTAGTTATCACAGTGTAAATAAAAATTAGAGAGTTTTATTTTTGCTTTTAAAAGATAAATTTATATATAAATTTAGTTTTATATATATAATTACTATAATAAAATAAATATATATTTAATTTGAAATATACCTAAAATGGTCTGTTTTAAAATGAATTTACAAAATATTGTTACTTAATATTTTGCCACTACTTAACTTTCCTCTGGATTGTCAACAATTGTTAAATTTGCTAATCTTCCTTTGAATGTGTGGAGAATTTTATTTCATTAGCATTTTGCTGTCATTGTGAAATGAAACAAAGTAAATGAACCATACATTGTAAGAGCTTAAAAGAGGCTTTAAAATAAAATCTTAAGCTGTTATTTTGGTGGTAAAATAGCTACAATTTGTAGAACTTTTTTTTTACAGTTCCTTCTGTCAATCCTATCTCTTTAACTCTGAAGAATTTAAAATATTTCAGTATTTATTTGATTCGTGTAGCTACGTCTCATTTGTAATACTGTGTTTTAGTTTTTGAGATATTACGAAGTTTTCTCAGTTGGATTCAACTTTTTTTTTTTTTTTCCTATCCCAACTTGCTACCTATTTTCTTATGTAATAGTGCAGAGTTGGGTTCAGAAAAGAGAACTTCTACTTTCTATCCTGCACATTCCTATCTCTGGGACTATATGGCATTAGGATTATGGGGTCAAATTGATTCTTGATTTTAAAGGTAAAGACTGGAATTCTCATGGATTTTGGGGTGGTACTCTATAGCCATATAATACCTAAGAATGTTGGACAAGCAATTCTTGCATTGTGATAGAAATTAGACTAGATGATCTTGTGCCCCTTCAAACTCTAAAGTTTATGATTAGATTGAATAGCTTTATCTGATTAATGATTATATTAATCATCTTATAATCCTTGATAATGCCTGCTACTCAGGAGTTGTTATTAGTGAGAGTAATCTCAGGTTTACCCTGTATAATGGTCTGGTCAGTGCTTTAATCACTGATCCAGGAATTGATAAAATAGGGATCACATTTACTGTGTTTATAGGTACACCAGATTGGAAAATATGGTGGTTAGAGTTGGAGAAAACTAAAGTAAGTATCTTAGAAGATAAACGAAAACACAGTGATAGGTAGGTCAGTTAGCAGTGTTTTCAGACTTTTAAGTAATGACATCTAAGGTTAAATGTGCTGTTGTTTCTGGGTAGAGAACTTAAGGAAACACTAGTATAAAGTGGTAACGGACTTTCTTTAGTAAATTACAATGGAAAAATGTCTAGTGGACTATAGTTATAAGGAACATAAGATTACCTGAATCATTTACATTCAAATAGCAATGAAGTATAAAGAATTATTTTTCTCCTCTCTTAGTTTAAGGTTTATATCTGGGTTCAATCTGGGCTGTGCTGCTAAATTCCTGTTACTGTGGAATAAGACAGATTACTTATATAAATTTATATTATTGTATAAATAGTACCCACTTTATGCAGATAGTAATGAGGCTATTAGTCCTATTTTCACTGTTATGTAAGTCTTTAGCCCAGGGATTTAAGTTCTCAAGTGCTGTTGTTCTTATTTAATTTGATTTATTATATTTTTAAGAGATAGGGTCTCACCATATCATCCAGGCTGGAATGCAGTGGCACAATCATAGCTCACTGTAACCTTGAACTTAGGCATAAACCACCAGTACCTAGCCTCTTACTTATTTTAGAGATTCTAAAATTAAATCTCATTAATATACTATGGGCATCAGAGAATATTATCTTTAAGAAAAGGAATCTTTAAATTGGTACCTCTGAACTATGATTTAGGAACTTTGGAGATCTTTACCTTTTTTATTGCTGAGTCTTCAGTCACATTACTAACTTAGCTTATAAGTACTGTTAAGGAAAGTTGGGTAACTGTAAATGGAAACTTTGTTTAACAATATTATCTTTATTCTATCTTGAAATAGTTTATGCCATTGTTTTTTTCTATTCTAGCCCTTAATCATACAGTCACTGGGACCCAAAACTCAGAGTGTGGAGATAACAAAAACAGACACAGATGGTAAAATTAAAGGTATGTTTTTGAATAAAGCTTTCATATTGAGAATAGTAGAAACATACTCAAATGTATTATGAGACTTGTTGAAAGCATTTCTTATACTACTTTATTAGAATAGTAAATTCTGTTAGATGTAAGCACCATGAGGTCAAGGATTTTGATATACTTCGTTGGTTGAGTGATGTATCTCTTTGTAGTTGAACCTGTGCCTGGAACATCACAAGCACTTATATTTGAATGAGTGATTAATGAAATTGTTACTTAACATATGGTATTAACTATAAGTATTTTAAAATTTAAAGATAGATTATTAAGTTCATCCTTGATAACTTTTAGTGTACTTTATGCAAAATAGAGTCTTAATAAGTATTTGTTGAATGAATCCATTTGTGTGAGCCACATTATTTACATTATTTATTTCAGCTAAAGAATATTGTAGAACATTATTTGCGTATGAAGGTACTAATGAAGATGAACTTACTTTTAAAGAGGGGGAGATAATCCATTTGATAAGTAAGGTAAGGTATTTCTGTTTTTCAGTGAATTAATTTATTTGTAGAAATATTTTTCAAAAGTTACATATTCCCCCTAGAATGTTCTTATATTCACCCTGGAATCTGGAAGAGCTGGGACTTTGTCTTGTTTCTAAGTCCTGAAAACTTGGCACATAGTAAGTGCTCAGAATGTTCTCTTTTTGAGCTAACTTTTATTGTCTATATTTGTTAAAATTTATATATTGGGAATTATTGTTAACCATCATATTTGCTTTTGTTTTTTAAGTAATTTTTTTTTTAAATTAATCTCAACTTTCCAGGTTTCTGTTCTTAATTCTCTTTCGCCTCATTCTAGTTTTTCTCCTCTATATTGTTTGGAGTGTTGTTTGTAATATAAACAGAAGAAGAAAAATAGGGAAACAAGCTAAATATCCATCAGTATGGAAATTGTTCTGAAACTCTTCATGCTATGGAAAATGATGTCGCCATTTTAAAGAATGAAGTGATTTTATAACTTGGAATAAATCCTAATGCAAAATAAAGAGAAAACCCAGTAGTACTTGTGTGTGGGCAGAATCCTAAAATAACTATCTATGTTTAGGAAAATTACAAATATTTAGTTTTTGCTATAACAATGTAGAATAATTTTTGAAATTCCTCCTCTCACTTATTTTTTTTTTAAGTGGAGGCAGAGTCTTGCTGTGTTGTCCAGGCAGTTTCTAACTGTTGGGCTCAAGCAATCCTCTTTTCTTTTTTTCCCATTTATTTATTTTATTGCATTTTAGGTTTTGGGGTACATGTGAAGAACATGCAACATTGTTGCATAGGTACACACGTGGCAGTGTGATTTGCTGCCTTCCTCCCCATTACCTACATCTGGCACCTCTCCCCTTGCTATCTCTTCCCAGCTCCCCACCCCCCACCTTTCCTCCGTTATTTCCCCTCAACTGACCCCAGTGTGTAGTGCTCCCCTCCCTGTGTCCATGTGTTCTCATTGTTCAACACCCGCCTATGAGTGAGAACATGCGGCGTTTGATCTTCTGCTCTTCTGTCAGTTTGCTGAGAATGATGGTTTCCAGGTTCATCCATGTCCCTACAAAGGACCCAAACTCATCGTTTTTGATGGCTGCATAATATTCCATGGTGTATATATGCCACATTTTCCCCGTCCAGTCTGTCATCGATGGGCATTTGGGTTGGTTCCAGGTCTTTGCTATTGTAAACAGTGTCAAGCAATCCTCTTGCTTTGGCCTCCCAAAGTGCTGAGATTACAAGTGTGAACTACCACACCTGGCCCCATTGTTTTACATTGACTTTGTTATTAGATGGCACAGTGTATGTAATTTTTTTAAAAAAATAAGTTTTATTGTGTATACTTAAAGTAGAATGATGTTATAGGATACATATAAATAGTAAAAATGTTACTGTAGTGAAGCAAATTGACATATCTATCATCTCACATAGTTTATTGTTTTAGTGGCAACAGCAGGTAAAATCATTTAGCAAGAATTTTACAGATGTATGTAATTTTTAATATTAATATAGTTTGATTACACCTAATTTTTCATGCAAGGGTGGTGAGTATTTGGAAGAAACTTAGAAGGCCTTGTTAATTCAAAAAAATACATGTTTTAAAGACAAGGTCTTGCTTAGTTGCCCAGGCTGACATGCAGTGATGTGATCATAGCTCACTGCAGCCTTGAGCTCATGGGCACAAGTGATCCTCCTGCCTCAGCCTCCCAAGTAGCTGGGACTACAGTTGCATCGCATTGTGCCTAATTAATAATGTTTTCAAATATTTTTGTAGAGGCAGGGTCTTGCTATATTGCCCAGGCTGGTCTTGCAAACTCCTGGCATCAAGCGATCTTCCCACATCAGCCTCTCAAGTTGCTGAGATTACAAAGCATGAAACCACTGTGCCTGGTCAAATCTCATTACTTTTTAAAGCAGCTGAATAATGTGATTAATTTTTAGTATATAAAGTGTTAAGAATGTTAAGAAAGATACAGTTTGGAAATTCAAATTCTCTCTCTCTCTCTCCATCTTTCTCTCCTTTCTGCTTCCTTTCATCTTAACTTTTTTTTTCTTTTTGAGATGGAGTCTTGCTCTGTCACCCAGGCCGGAATGTGGTGACACGATCACTGCTCACTGCAACCTCTGCCTTCTGGGGTCAAGTGATTTTCCTGTCTCAGCCTCCTGAGTAGCTGAGACTACTGGTGCCTGCCACCACACCAGCTAATTTTTGTATTTTTAGTGGAGATGGGGTTTCAGCTTGTTGGTCAGGCTGGTCTCAACCTCCTGACCTCAGGTGATCCACCCAGCCTGGCCTCACAACATGCTAGGATTACAGATGTGAGCCAACACACCCGGCCTTATTTTATCTTTTTCCAGTTTCCCCTGAGAACATTTTAACCATATAGATGGAATTTTAAAATTGATATGTTTTAAAAAAATTAAACTCAATTTTGTAACTACTGCTAAAAGTAATATGTGGGGAATATTTTCTTTTAGGACAATGTGATCTGTTTAGTTCCATCTGGGCACAGTGGGTCATTCTTGTAATTTCAACACTTTGGGAGACCAAATCAAGAGGATCATTTGAGCCCAGAAGTTTATGGTTGTACACTTGTGGTCCTCGCCACTTGGGAGGCTGAGATGGGAGGATCACTTGAGCCCAGGAGGTTGAGGCTGCAGTTAGCCATGATTGCATCACTGCACTCCAGCCTGACCTTATCTTAAAAACTTCCATTGTCTTTTTCTGTTTTGCTTTTTAGGAGACTGGAGAAGCTGGCTGGTGGAAGGGTGAACTTAATGGTAAAGAAGGAGTATTTCCAGACAATTTTGCTGTTCAGATAAATGAACTGGACAAAGACTTTCCAGTAAGCTTTTGTTTTTCAATGATGATAATACTTGAAAGAACATTTTGCCACTATACTTTTGTAAACAAGTTTTTTTCATTGTTATTAAATAAATTTTATGAAGGAGTTTCAGATGTAGCTATTCAGGTAGGAGTTGAGTTATAGTAAAACAAAATAATGTTTCAGTTCTGTACTTTATTCCTCCTTTTTTTCTTTCCTGACTGTACTGAAAAGTAACCTTAGACTTCTTTATTTTATAATTTAAGAAGGGCTGTCTATCCTATTAACATAAATTAGTATTTTCCTGGAAGAAATTGTATTTTTATTTAATGTTGTTGAAAAGCTTTAGTTTATTTTAAGGTCTTGTGGATATTGTTATTCTGTTGGTGCATTTTTTGGGGGAGGGCAAGAAGCAGTCTTTGCCTCCTTATGGAATTTGTTTTTTTGTGTGTCACTTCTCAGAGAAAAAGTGAGGCTGAGTCATTCGTCCGTGGTGTTTTGCCTTTCTACAACTTGGTCTCCTTTCTCCATGGATGAGGAATATAATGGAGTTTTTAAAATAGAGGGAAAGAGCATTAGCGTAAGCACACAGAGGGATGGGCTACCATGTTAGGTTTAAGCCAATGCAGAACTCTTAACTCAGTGGAAGCTTAGGCTGTCTGAGGCCTTTCTTTTGCTAGGTTGCATTCAGTATTGATTCAGCCTTCATATGATTTACTTTTGTACTTTTATTAATGAATACATTTTTATGCTTTTATTATGTTTGAACATTATGGCTTATCAGTTATTCTTAATTTGTAAAAACGAAGTTTACAAACTTAGAAATGTGTCTCAATTTTTTTAAAGGTATTAAGCCTTGAAAATGAGTGAATGTTTATAAATTGAGGAAAAACAGGTCTTTGCCTTTAACTGTTCCTTTGAGAGTTCCGAAGAGTTAATCATGAAAACTAGGTCTGTTTGTTGCTACTCTGCTTTCTTTTTTTTATTTAAAACAACAACAACAACAAGAAGGTCCCTTCCTTGTTCTGCCAGTCCTCCAATCCCCACAACCCCTGCTGCAAAAGAGGGGTAAAATGGTACTTAGGACTCTTAACCTAGGGAAGGTAGAGCAGAACGTTTTTGCTCATTAAGATTTTTAAGGTTAATTCAATCCAGTGATATATAGATTGAAATATTTGACTGAATTTTGATCAATGAGACTATTTCTTCTAATGAAATAATTTGTTGTCATTGCCCTTTTGGGTAGTTGTTAGGATCTTAGCATTTTATAGTTTTTGGCAAGGATGGAATGAAGAGGAGAGACATTTGTATAATTTAGATTATTACTAATTGGTGTTTATTTTAACTATATTTGATATGAAACTGGTCAGCCATTTCCACCATTATTATTTTAACAGAAACCGAAGAAACCACCACCTCCTGCTAAGGGTCCAGGTATGTAAGAAACATATTTTTCAGTTTGCTATTTCCAATATTTGAAAATTCTAAAATGACCATATTGGATCTAATGCAGATTATTAACTTTTAAGTCAAGTATGTTGTAGTCTGTAAAAATTTTTAGAAATATATGAAAATTGAGTGTTCCCATGCATTAGTATCTGTCAATATTTTTTTAAGTACAAATGGTATAAAATAGGGATCTTGAAAATAATGTAGATACTTTATATGTAATTTTAAGTTAATAAAATTGACCAAATTTACACTGTTTTAGAAAACTTAATATATTGACCTGGCCAATTAGTTATTCCACCTTTCCAAATGAAATCCATTTGTTAATGTCTCAAATAATATTAATTTGCATACTCTTCTTACAGAGAGTATGCTGAAGGTTAAACAAAATAGATGATTTTAAATAGATGAATAAATTATGGTATACCTAGTAGTGTCTTCAAGAGTTAAAGTTTTGTAATCTGGCTCTTTGCTTTCATAAATTCTACTTTTGAATACTTGCTCTTTACAGGTGTAATATCTATTTCCTAAAAGATTTGCTGTTTTTTTTAGGATAATCCAATCTTTTTCTCCCTTGATTTTAGCTTTGTATTTGCTGACCTAATCCTGGAGCAAAGAAAGCATAAAACTAATTTTTATAGAAGTTGGTGTTGAAGCCTTATTATATAGCTTTACCCTTCGATATGGTAGCCATTAACCATGTGGGGCTTTTAAAATTAATTACATAAAATTTAAAAATTCAGTTTCTCTGTCATAGGAATGCCATTTCAAGTGCTCAGTACTCATATGTTGGACACTGAAAAAATAACATGTTTTCATCACCACGAACTGCAGTATGGTAGAGGATATGATCTCTAACACCTAAAGTTGACAAAGAAGGAACTGAGACCACAGAGTAGGGTAGTAGCGCCAACTCTAGGATTAGAAATTAAGCCTGGTGATTCTGGTACATTGTTCATTCTATTAAACATGGTTTCATCTGTTATTTTTCAATGCATCTTTTTTTTTTTTTTTTTTTTTTTTTTTTTTTTT